GCACTTAGCCTCCAAGAAAAGCGCCTTTGATGTTGTCCCTCACAGTCTAGATACACTCGCCGGCGCTCGCCCAACTCGCATCCAGACCGTCATTAACGTGTCGCCATCACACATCCTCAGCGGTGCATCTCGTCTTTTCCCTCCTTCACCATGTGCTTGCTACACATATGCACAGAGTCAGGCAGGTCCTCCYTTGTCACCGGACTACATTTGACGTTTGTGCCCAGACGCGCCGCACACTGCTTGAACTCCTCTGGCTTCTTGCACCCGCAGGTATAATTGCGGTAAGTCTGGGCGCACATAGTGTCTAGAATGCTGTGTCGCGTGACGTTGTAACTCTGCGGCGTAACAAGGCTTAGGTCCGTCGCGCGAATTGGGTCTGAGTCAAGACGCCAAGGTTAGTATCTAAATCCCGAGATCATAAGGGTCCRAAGCTGTTTAGTAATGAGGAACTTCAACGTACTTGTGTATTCGGAGACACTGGCACACAGTTTGGGGGGAGTAGGGGAGGTATATGGGGGATATCGACTGGGTACTCGCTTTTCAAGGTCGCCGTCGCTCAGTGGTATGATGCTCCTGCCTGGGAGCGTCTCTATCTCCCTGCTACTTATATATTTCATTTGCTACATATAGATGTCTTTTTCTGAGCAGKWWMCTGCTCAGATAGCGCGCGGCAATAATGTCATGCGGTGGCGCTTGATTTCTTGCATCTTCTCCACATATACCGGTCCYGKYGTGGAAGATCAAGTCCCTTAGTGGACAACATGCACCTGCTCCCTGGTAGTAGCAATTCCCAGCCAGATGTGCCGGGCTATGCAAGGCGCACTAGGGCGCGAAGATTACCCAGCGCGGTAAGATTATTTGATACACTTCCATTGGCTAGCAGAATGACCCTTCTGCTGGCCTTAGGTCCTTGGGAAGGGAGACTTGCATAGTGTTAACAACGGCTCATGCACGCACCTCACCTTGGGCGGCACGTAGGGTAAGTTGATTGGCTACAAATCCTGGGAGATGCAAGCCCCGCCATCAGAAACCAACTTCCACAGCGCGTATACTCACACTTCTCTTTTTTAAAGTCCATTCCGCCAGCCGGAGCACGGCGTCGCTGAGCCTCTTGGCCAATTTTATTGTCTCGCGCTCCAGGCCCTCCCAGGCTCTGATCTTTCAGCTCGGCGCACCATCCAGTTCTCAACAGCTCCTGTCCGATCACGCCTTCTTGAGTAGTCATGCTGCGCAGCCGCCATTTGCATCCAGAGCACCTCCTTACTGATCCACAGCCATCTCTTATCGCCTCAAGACCGCTTCTCCACAATGATTGCCCCTCAAGAAAGGAACACCAACGTCCGGCTTCTCGCATGTCTCATCGACGACGACGACACGAACGATAGCGATTATCGCTTCCTCGTCGACGGGCAACATGTGAAGTACATATCCACAGCGCCAGGCACGTTTCGCGGGGCCGAGGACGACCGTACTTTCGAGCCCATCCTGCTTGGCGAGCTCCTCCCACCATTTCCGACTGGAGATTGGAACCACGGCTACGTAGCTAGGGACTCCGAGACGGGGAAGGCTACCTTCGTTAGGACCGAGACGGTACAACTTGCCGGGGTTGAGAACTGTTGGCATCCCATGAAGCTCAATGAGCTGGAATTCACGCGACAAGAGCGAGTGAGGCAACGAGTCCACGTCTCAACGCATCCCGAAGTCAAAGGCGGCAAACCCGTGCTCATCAAACTCGCGGTCTGGCCCTGGGAAATCCCCTCCATTGAGGTTGAGACGGCCGCCTATCAATGGATTAGTGACAGCGGGGTCGGTCCTAATTTTCTGGGCCATCTCACCGAGGGTAAAGATGGGCGCGTGGTTGGCTTCGTCGCTGAGTGGGTGGAAGGCGCGAGAGCCGCTGGGCCAGCGGACACCGACGACTGCAAGAAGGCTTTGGGCCGGTTGCATGAGCTCGGTATCAAGCTTGGCGATATCAACAAACATAACTTTCTTGTGCGGGATGGGCATGACGTGGTTCTGGTAGACTTTGAGACGGCGAAGCGAGGCTGTTCGCCTTTGGAACTCGAGGACGAGATGAGCACCCTCAAGAGCAGCCTTGAAGGCACGAGTTTCCGAGGTGGGGTGGAACCCGTTTATGAATGACAGAATCAGGACATGCAAGCCGGCATTAGCTTAGGGGTTAGCGGGAGGTTAGCTGCACATACAACCAAACTAGACCATCAAATCCACCAGCATCGTCAGAATAAATCACCAAGAGAAATGTCGCTGATCCGACAAGTCTCTTCCAACGTCTACCAACCTTTTTGCGCTCTCTTGGACGGTTTTTGGGGCGGACATCATTCGAATCAGCCCCGTGGCCTTGAGAAAGAAGTCCACGGCGAAGCTTGCATTTTTGCGACGTGTCTGGCGGGTCATGGAGCCTTCTTGTTTTTGTATTGCCACTTTGTTCTAGAGATGTTCAAAAATCAAAAAAATCGACAAATTGTACAGAAGCAAATCTTGAAAGCAATTCTACGTTGCCCGCATCCTCGATCGCGTTCTCTAGAGTGACCACATCGTTCGTGCGTGCTTGATTGGGTACTGTGAGAAAAGTAGACGACAAAAGGCGATGTTATAACAAAAAGAAGAGAAAGAAAAAAAATCGTTCACGAGTATAGAATTCAGTCATTGACGCCCAAAACGACACGCCACTGCTCAATCAATCACGGAGTTACAGCAAATAATGCTCTTCGAAAACACAAAGCCCCCAAATAAAGGGGTCTATTGTCTACGATGCAGATCGTCCATGCATCGTGACAGGGTATCCGTACTTGTTAAAAGGTCGCTTGTCCGCGATTGCGTAATGTGTCTTGCCGTCTGAAATCAAATTTAACACTGTACAGGCGGGGTACAAGCAAGTATGACGATTGAAGGTGTAACTTTCTTTCTTTTAACACCTCTACAACATGACTCTCGAAGCTTTTCAGTGCGATGTCTGCTTCGAATCTATTACGAGAAATGACGTGAAAGTACATCTGCAGAAGCATTAGGCAAACACATGATGTTACTCTCTCTACTGTCTCTAATGCGATCTTAGGCCCAGATGCTCAGCCTAATGAGCAGATTGCCTGATATCGCGTCGCCCGACAGCCCTCAAACCGATGAAAAGCGAGTTAATGGTTCTCAATTACCATATAGTAGTGGATGTAGTCACTGCGTGCCGAGGTCTGCTTATATAACTCTCCTTAATATCTGAGCTAATTGATCTTGCTGATCCACCCATTGCCGGGATCGTGGTTAATTGTCGCTAGGGTCAGCGGGCGAGCGGCCCGTATTTTGCCCACTAATCTGAGGATGAGCCTTCATAGGCGTGCTTTGCATACGCAGTTCAGGTACTCGTCGTTTAGCCAATGACCTAACGTATCCCCGACGCGCTAAAGCTGATTTTCGTGGACAGTAGACCGGATATGGATGGGAGCAAGCGAAGCGCCCTTGTGGAATTTAAGCCTTGTACCTGCTCCTCTTTAGTAACAGTTGCTGCCAGTACCGCACGTACTCAGCAAATTCGCACACTCGAATGCCTCTTTTAGCATACTCTAATTGTTTAGAGGCCGCGAGCCTTATCCAAAAGGCTACCTCGTGGTTTGTGGGAATACAAGGGCTTTGATGGACCGATCATTACGAAATGCACAAAGCGCAGCGTTTGCGTCTTCGGCAGGAAGCCAAGCGCGACTCCGCCACGCCACAGCCTCGTTAGGCATCCCGCAGTGGTACCTGTTGACGGATCCCCTCTCCCCTCAGTGCTTTCCTTCAGCGACCCATAGTTCCATGAACATTGTCGCTGTTAGCTCCCATAACGAGGCTAAGTCGTTTCTTGTTAGCCGGGCCTTAGAGATCGGCATGCTTACAGTGGCAGCGCAAGGGTCAAGGCAAAGATAGGACAGATCTCGATGCCGCACTTAGCGCTCTCAGATTGCATCGTAGCGGAAAGAGGCGGGGTAGCGATCAAGGCATGTGGAGAGTCAGGCCAAACCCATTTGCGTGACCACAAAGCATTGCTGCTTCAGATCAGTTGCGCACGACCAACGACTTCTGGACCTTCTGCCTGGACGCAGCCTGGGGCGGGTGGGCCCTGACCATGGTGGACACGACAAATACGATAAATCTGTCGCACCCTGCTGGAAGCACTCGCGCAGGGGGGGCTGAGGGCCGGCTATAGGGCAAGGAACCCCTCACCAGCTCAGACCTGCCAGATCAACGGCACCTCACCATGGAGCCCGCCGGCCTCGTCATTGGGGTCGCTGGGCTCGCCGGGCTCTTCAACGCCTGCCTAGAAGCCGTTGACACGGTACAGTCCTACCAAACATTCGGAACTGACTCGCACGTTCTAGATACTCGATTCAAGGCTGCCAAAACCCGCTTCGAGAGATGGGGCCCGAGTGTGAGGATCAAGCAAGGCAAGCTGCTCCCCAATCATCACCCTGTCCTAGACGACAACGATATATCTGTGGTGGTGACGGACTTGCTACATATAATCATCAAGACTATTTGCGATGCGAACAACTCGCCTCAACGTCGTACTCGTGCACCGGGCCAGACGTCGATGACTCGTCGGACTTGCACGAGCCAGTGCCCCCCTTCGCTGCGGCATCCTGGTCGAGACGAGGGAAGATGTCGTGGGCACTCCGGGGCAAAAGAGGGCGCGTCGAACAGGTCGAACTATTTGAAAAGCTAGTGCAAGAACTGCACAACCTGGTGCCCCCGACTACGGGGGATAATACACGACCGGCACACAAGCTGGACACAGGACACTCCGATACTCTCGCACGAGGCATGGACTCAAGAAGACTGAAACGTGGCTGTCGTCTGACGAGACTAGGGACTACTTCAGGTCACGCATGGCATGTTGAGATACGACGGATCCTGGCTCGGATCGAAGGCGAAGTTAGAGGTGAGATGCATCGTTCAGATTCCCCAAGCTGAGCTAACGTCCAGGGAGCCGAGACGCAACGGAAACTCCACTCATGGCTCGGCCACTCTCTCGACGAACGTTACCACGACTCCCTCGAAAAAAGACTGATCGGCACGTGCAATTGGATCTTCGACCGGCCCATGTTTCAGCACTGGCTGTCCACGGAGTTCTCCACAAGGCCTAAGCTGCTGTGGGTCAATGGGCCTGCGGGATTTGGGAAGACGATTCTCTGCGCCCACGTCGTCGAACATCTCTCGTCCAGCCTCGACACGCCCATCGCCCATTTCTTCTTACATCCGACCACGAGAGCCGCGAAGATCCCTTCTCGGCCCTACGGTTATGGGTCTCTCAGATCGTGTCACGTCACGAGGGTGCATTCGAGCACGTTCGCCAGAAGTGGGAGTCTGACTCGGATCCTGTCGCAGCACGCTACACTATCATATCGCTCTTCACACAACTCCTCCACGCCATCCCTGGCTACACGTTCGTTGCGGATGGCCTAGACGAATGTACCTCGTTAGGTAACATCAACACTTCGGTTGCGAAATTTCTCCACGATATTACAAATGCGGTTACCGGGACGAACGCCCGACTGCTTATTGTGAGTCGCGACGAGCCCGAATTCCGACGCGCCCTCATGAACGACGCGCGCGAGAGCTTTGCCGAGTACAGGATCGTACCTGAAGACGTCCGATCTGACACTGCCGCCTACTCCCAATCCATTGTCGACAGGAAACTCCCCAATAAGAGCGACGATATCCGGTCGACTCTCTCCGAAGCAATGACCAATCGATGCCAAGGCCAATTTCTCTGGCTTAAAATGCAAGAGGAATCCCTGAGAAGAGGGATGAACAAGAAACAACTTCAGAGCGCCATTGAAAACACGCCAACTGGGCTTGAACATCTCTACGACCGTAACTGGACTAGAATCACCCGGTTAGGAGAGTGGGAGAAGCAGCGTGCATTCGCCCTTCTGCGCTGGACTGCGTTCGCACTACGACCCTTGACTGTCTGTGAGATCACCGAAGCCGTCCTTGTCGTCGAATTCGAAGACTTGCCATTGGACGATTTCCCTGATGCGGTGGATGACGATTACGTCGATAGCGAGATAATTGGCCTCTGTGGCCCTCTCTTAGAGGTTAAGAATGACCCTACCAATCCTTCTGTGGGCCAAAGGACAGTGCATCTACCGCACTTTACCGTCCGACAATTTCTGCTCCACCAGCTCCCTACACCGGATTGGACCCAACAGAACAATCGCTTGCAACTTTCTCATGAGAAGGTCCAGAACGCCGTCCTTGCTAAGGCCTGCCTTCAGTATGTCAGCTTGCGTCAGGTTTAGAGTGACGGTAGCTATGATCCCTCGTCTCTTGGTCTGTCGTTGCGAAGCTATGCGGCAACGGCCTGGCATCGACATGTTCACTTGGGCGTACGCAACGAGGCCGAAATAGTCAAGCTCTGCATCAAATTTCTCGACCTAGACAATCCCAATTGGGAAGCTTGGAGATCGTTGATCGAGCCAGGGAAAGTAGGACAAGGAAACAAAGAAGCCGAGACCATCCCACCTGGTCCGCTCTACTACGCAATAAAGCTGCACTTGAACGACATGGCAATTGCTCTGGTCACTGAGCAAAGCGCGAATGAGAGTAGCAGTTTGGGAAGGTCACCCCTTGGCGTCGCTTGCGCTAATGGGTGCATTGACGTTGTTGACGTGCTTCTCAAGAAAGGGGCCGACCTTACGGTTACAAATCGCAATGGATGGACACCTCTGCATGCAGCATCATATAATGGACACGAACATATTGTCGATCTCTTACTTGATCGTGGTTGTAGTGCGGACCTCAGGGATAAAGAAGGTCGGACACCTCTGTCGTGTGCTGCGGAGAAAGGACACGAGCCAGTAGTGAGGCGACTTCTCGCTATGAATGCTGTCGATGTGAACACGAGGCGTGTCATTTACCCAAAGTCAGTCTTTTATGGGGCATGGTGCGATGACAAAGAGGTTGCCAAGTTCTTGTTTCCTGCAGACGACAGCCCGGGACTTGGTTTTTTTGGCTCCCTTCTACCTTCAGTAAACTCGGGCGACATCACCTTGGTCGATTTAATGGAAGCCCTTAGGCACCTTGAAGGTGGTGAGGTCGAAGCGATCAAGTCTGGTCAAACATCAGTTTTATTGACAGCGCCCGACATCTCTAACAAGGTGGAGCTGGTGCTCGCTAGAGACGTCAATATTAAGACTGGAACAACTCCGCTCCACCTAGCAGCCCGGAATGGCCATGCCACGGTAGTCAGGACATTGCTTGAAGTGAGAGGCCTTGCCACGGACCCCGTGGACGAGTCTAATCGAACCCCGCTGATGCTTGCCGCAGCGGCTGGGCACGAGGCGGTGGTCAGACTTCTTTTTGGGGAAAATGGTGTCAATACCAATTTCATGGACGGGTACTATCAGACGCCGCTCTCCCTGGCTGTGAAATACGGACATGAGGCCGTAACCAAGCTTTCGTTGGATAATGGCATAGGAATTTTGCAAAATGAAGTGCGTAAGCGAACTTAGACCGTGAAATATGTATAAAGGGTCTTCAGGACGATTTTGTTCTAGATTCCTGTTTGCTTCGCCATACAGTGGATCAAAGGCGGCTGGGTTACAGTCATGGGCGCCGAGATAGCGGGTAAACATTGACAACTGGCAACTGCCATGTTGCTGGCGGAAGATACCTATTCTGCCTGTGGTAGTACTTGGACTGAATTTTCATTCATTCGTTTCAGTAGGCTAGTAAGCCGGCTACTTGGGATATTCTAGACGCCAATAAATTCTAGTATTCGAGAGCGATTTGACCACCCTGTACCATCTTCGCCAACGCCTTAGGGACCAATCTATCCGTGTAACATTGTAGCTTCTGAGTTAGCTGCTGGCGAAGGAGTTCTTCTAGCTGGCTTGTTGCCTCCTGTTTGATGCAAGCTGATTGTGGTGAAGTCTTGGGAGATCTGCTGAGGAGATTGTTCTTTAAAATGCCCTCCAGCTTGCTTGAGTCTCGAGCCGACGCCGTGGTTCTTTCCATTCAGTGGTTTGCCATCTGTCGAGACCATAAACTGAATAGTATCGTCGCCTTCAGCATGGTTCTCGATATT